TGACGAATACCTGTTTAGGCTGGGAAATAGCCCCCTAAGTGAGGTTCAAGACACCCTTCTAGACGAGTGGCGGGTTCTATACGTTCGGGTGACCGAGCAGCCTTCGTGGATTCCTCGAGAATAAGTATATCTGAGCCTAGTCCCATACGAGTGCTTGCGGTTCCACTCACTTGGAATTTTCTTTGGTTTTATCAAAATTTTGGGACAAAGCACTCGTGTTACTTTTCTTTTCTTTCGAGATTTCCCCAGGAGTTTTGAATATTTTCTTTTACTTGATACTTGAGGGACTTGGATCCTGGGTTGATTTTTAGCTGATGTTAGATGATTTTGATGTCAACCCCAGACTTTTTATGGGGAGTCCACATGAAGGCGTATCAATGACTCCTCAAGATAGTGATAAGCTAATCTCTGTGATCTGTGCTAAAATTGACACTGATTAAAAAGTTACTTGTTTCTTTTTTGTAAACAGATAGATTTTGGGACTTTGACATTTTTATTTAAATTACTACTCGTCGATTTTCTCGAGTTTTTCATCATGGATTATTTGTCGATTTTCCTCAAGTTTTCCAGGCGACGTTTCCATTGTTGTTCACTTTTGCCTATACAATACATGCTAGCTCGTTCCTTAAATTCTATAGCTCTACTTATAACTGCTACATAAATTACACTTAAAGGAGCAGCGGGTCTCCGAGGTATACATGTTTGTTTTACATTTGCAGCGCTTTATTTTACAACACACTTTACTATTCTTGTCTACTGTACATTCTACTGCTTTCCTTTGTTATACCTGCTACTGCCTCTTTTGCACACTATACATTAGAATAGGCGGACAGTAGTTGGTTTTATAGGGGGTACTCGGCAGCAGACCGTTGACTCAACTATTTCATATACACTTAAAATTAACATCGAACTCGAAAGTGCTACGACGAGGAGCTTGGAGCTAGCGTTGTGGGCAGCACGATCATCTTCAACAGCAGAACACGTCTACACCAGCTAAACCACTCATTAGAAATTAAAACAACAATCCATAAGACTTCGAAGTTGTTTGCCTAGTGCAACATAAATCCTCCACCTTTTTTTTTTTTTTTTTTCTTTAGGCATTCGTATAGCTCTGCCGTATGATTTAAGCCCTAAACTCGTTCTAGGTTCCGAGGTTGTCGTCCGATACGACGTAAACCCTCATATCTTCTAGGCAATTTGAGTGACCTTGTCACGCAAATATAAGCCCTAATTAAATAAAATTGGCGGGATAAAACACTTTAATATTTTCTTCTCAAAATTGGAGCCAAATCATAGGATAGACTGGGAAGTCACTGAGGTTCTCCTCAAGATCTGTGGCTTCCCCTAGTTTCTCTTCATTTGGATTCCTTAACAATGTTCCAGATTTGAGCTTTTCCCCTTCACACCTCTTCGTCCGATTTCGTTGTAAAGTCCTATCCTTTTGACCTCTTTGAAGACATTATTCCCTGATTTTTATCGAGAGTTTTCTTAGGTGACTTCGGTCATTTGAGATGTAATTAACTATAGGGGCTTGCCCTTATAGGGAGCTTTTCCGAACCCCGCTTAAAATAAACCCTATTTAATTATTTGTATTAAATAGGGGAACTTGTCGGCAAATAAAATGGTTTCGCAGACCCAAACGGACGTCATATCTTTCTTAGTTTATTTGATCGAGCTTCATCCTCAGGTCTTGTGTTTATCCCTCGGGATAGATACAGGATTTGAGGTAGAGCGCTCTTTCATTTAAACTGTGAAAAATATGAGGTCAGTTTGATTTCATATTTTTCTAAAATTATATATATATACGTAAATTAAAAAGTCCTTCCGAAGCGGGTGACGGGATTTCGATTCCGGTGACCGACAGATTCTTACGGGCGACCCCCAAACATTAACTTTCCCCTTTTAAGCGCCGACAGATAGCAAGCTGGGAAGGTCGGGCAGCAACGGGGAAGGCTCGTTAGCACGCTCGGAGGGTGGACATTGAGCGGGGAGTGTTGACAGCGATGGGAAAGGCCTTAACAGCAAGGTAAATTGCTAGAAGTGGGTGGGCCGAGTGCTGGGAGGAATTCTGGGCAGGTGGACAGCAAGATTGGGTTTTCCAGGAAGGGCGGCTGAAAGTTGGGATGGAGTATGGGGAGCTGCGGCCTTGCTTGGAGAAGGCTGGCGGTAGGTTGGAGGGAGGACAACAACATGTGATTGTTAGGGAAGAGGTGTGGCGGCCTATTAGGGTTGGGAAGCGGGTGAACAACAACAGGAAAGGTGGAATGATAGATAAATGTCTTGTCGGGGTCAAGCTACAACCGGAGCATCACTCGAAACCGTGGAGACGATCACCACCTCAGGCGAGGGACAGTCAGAAAACTACCTCAACGTCTGATACGGCCCTCGAAGAAGAAAATATCAAGGCTAAAACGTGATTTTAGATATAAAAAATAAGACCCTTAACTCTAAGCACATCACCTCCTATTTATATAAAAAAGCTTGACATATTTTAGTAAGGATTTTAAATTTTGAAAAGACTTTCAAAATAAGAAAGGACAATCAAAAGGATTTCAGATTTTTGGAAAGATTTTTAAAACAAGTAAGGAGAATAAAAAGAGATTTCAGATTTTAGGAAAGACTTTTAAAATAAACAAGGAGAATAAAAAGAGATTTCGGATTTTATGAAAGAGTTTTAAAATAAAGAAGATGCCTAAATTAGAATTTCAGATTTTAGGAAATGATTTAAAATAGGGAAGTGTTCAGTAAGAAAAAGTGAGGGGGAGAGAAAGGAAATCTGAGGAAGGAAAGTGAGGATAAAGGAGGAAAGGAAGGAGAAAGAGGAGAGAAAGGAAGGAGGGGAGGGGGGGGGGGGGGGGGAGGGGGGGGGGGGGGGGGGGGGGGGGGGGGGGGGGGGGGGTCCTCTCCCGAGCCTCGCGTCAGTTCCAAACATACTTTTAGATTGTTCCATAAAAAGTGCGTCTAAATGACATAATGTGATTTAATTGATTTGATTGATGACTTTTTATTTTGGGATTTTTTATACTGATGACAATAGAGAAGAATGCCAATGAAACAAATGAAAATGAAAAATCACAGTATGAAACTTGCTAGATTTTCATTAACATTATTCCAAATATTTAAACAAGTGATTATGCAAAATCATGAACTTGCAATTAAAAAAAAAAAGCAAAGAAGCAACTATGATTCATAGCTATATGCACTATTGCCCATAGGAAGAAGAGGCGCACCCCATACTATTTGTTTAGTATGTTGTGGGGTGTCAAAGTAGTGTGTGCCATTGGCGCCTTTTCTGGGCTATAGCGCAAGGTGCATTATCTATATAGTACATGTTATTTTATTTCTTTATTTTATTGATTTTAATTATTATTAATACTATTTAATTTATATTGAATATTAAGATTATTATTATTATTTTAATATTAAGATTATTTTCTGTTTATTAGTACTCGCATAGCTCTCATTAGGTGCACAAACCTAGCTTGGTTTCTCTTCACAGTTCTTTTGCACTTGGTTGCTCAAAGGTAGACTTGTGGGTGGGCGATGCAGGGAAGATGGTTAATGATGTAAGTAGGGTTGCAACCCAGAATTTGGGACGTAAGTGAGCTGTTTGAAGGAGAGTTCTTGTGGTCTCGCGTAGATGGCATTGTTTGCATTCAACAATGTCATTTGTCGGGAGTGTAGGAAGAACTACTTTGATGAATAATTCCCCTATTTGTTAGAAAATTTTGTAAACGTTGGTTGGTATATTTGCTGCTGTCATCTGAACAAATGATTTTTTATGTGAGCATTAAGTTGAGTTTCAATCATAAGAGCAAGTTGAATGAATTTTTGAGTTAGTTCAGCTTTTGAATTCATTGGATAAACCCAAACATGATAAGACAAGTCATCAACAAACTTAACATATTATTTGTATGCATTTATAGATGGGATTGGGGAGGCTCCCATACATCTGATTGAGTTAATTCAAAAAACTGTAGTGTTGATGATCTTGTTTGGGAAATAGTAATTGATGGCTCTTGGTCATTTTACAGGAATCACAAAAAAAAAGGAAATAGGAGAAATACATAAAGAACTTTGTGTTTTGCTAGTAGTTGAAAGTTTGGTAGCATGCGGATGATCGAGTTGAGCATGCCATGGCTGAGCGGTAGAAATACCAGCTAGAAGAGAAGCAGTAGAAAGATGTTACCGGTGACTAGGCTGGGTAGAGCCCATTACGGCTTGGTGCTTGATTGTATTACCAACAACATCGAAGAGAATAAAAAAATTGTTATTAGATGCGAGCTTATTAAGTGAAAGAAAATAGTGAGTGCGAGAACATGTAGAATATTAGTGAGAAGGATCTTATGATTGGGGTTTGGTGTTGGTTACAGTCCTTGACCACTGTTGCCAATTGGCAGAGAGGAATTGTTGCCTACTAGAACTTCATCAGAACTGTAGTATCGTGTGGGTTGTGGAATTTGATCAATTTCAGCTGTCGTGTGAGCTGTGACACCACCAGATTTTGATCAAGAAGTTGCCAGGTGTGATACTTTGGGTTAGTAGAAATGTCGCCAGTTGAGCTAGTGGTTTGTTTTTGTGGACATATTGTGGTTCCATCAAGAAAGCTTTGAAAGTCATTTGCTGTGAATGTTTTTAGGACCCGAGCACGTGGCTCTGATACTATGTCAAAGGATAATCCACAAATAGTAGAATAATGTAGCTCAAATGCAAGGCACTCAATACATTCTCTTCTACAACTCTTTCATATACAAAATACAACTAATGTACATGATTGTACAAGGCTATTTTGTCTAATAGCTCTAATGCAATAGATAGAATGTGGAGCTTATCATAATTGACTTGATTCAAAATTTATGACTCTTATCACTAACAACTTCACTAGTTCCAAACTTGTGTCTTTGTGCATGAGACTAATGTCACCACCTTATTTATTTCCCCAAACAGTTTTATTTTATTTATTTATTTATTTATGTAATATTATTATATATTTTTGGCAGACTGAGGTTGAAGTTAAGGGAAGCATCATAAGGCAGGGGAGAAGTGTTGTGGTTGTTAACATTGAGTTCAGGATGAAGGAATCTAAGAAGCTGGCTTACACCTCACGTGCAACTTTCTATATAATGCCTGCTGCTAGTCTCTGAATTTCAATGTAATTAATACTCGGTTTTTCTAACTTCTTATTATTAATCTCTTGGGGATTGAAAATAAAGTTTTGGATGGTTAAAATGTCAATTTTAAGTTTGGTTGGTTAAAATATCATATTTAAAATTTCAAATGATTAGTACGTAAAAATCACTCGTTTTCTTATAATACACGATCTTTTGAAGTAGTGTGATTGATTGTCGATTTCTATTTACCAAAAATATGACGAAATATTTAGTAGATATATTTTTGTGTGTTAAGAGAGAGAGCGAAGTTTAAATCAAAATAATAATTTGTGTGGACTCGTGATTTTACGTTTTTATTGCATGGAAATGATATATGTTTGAATCTAACACATCACACTTGTGCTCAAACAAGTCGTGCGAACACACTGTTCACAAGCAATTTCTAGCACGAGTCAATTTCATAAAAATTAATTTTTGAATGAGCTGAACATGAGCCCAACCTGAGCATGTTCAAGCCCAACACATTTATGGATGTAATATGTTTTAACTCATTACTTGAGAACTTAGGAACTCTTAATCAACAAATCATAGATTCAATATGTAATTAGGGCTGTTCAAAAAGCTCGTTGTCAGAGAACAGTTCGTGTTCGGCTCGTTCGTTAAGTAAACGAGCTGAACACGAATAAGTTTTTAAAGCTCAAATTATAAATGAGCTGAATACAAACAGTTCTTTATTCGCTTTTATTCGGCTCATTTTAGCTCGAAAATAAAAAAATATATATATAATTATTTATATAATATTATATTACATATATTATTTATATAATAATATATTATATATATTTATATCTAAGTTTCAATCATAAAATTTTGTGTGATAATGTAGTTAGTGTCTTCTTCTGTCAATATTTGGTCTAAATTTGAATCCCACACTTTACATCTATTTTTTTCAATTTAATTTTTTCAAGCCAATTTTGAGCGGAACACGAACACGAATATTTAAATCGAGCCGAACACGAATACACTGTTCACGAGCTAATTTCGAACACGAGCCGATTTTGAACACGAGCCGATTTCGAACACGAGCCATTTCGAATGCGCCGAACACAAGCCAAGCCTTAGCTCGCTCAGGCTCGGTTCGTTTTGCAGCCCTATATGTAATATGCCTATGCTTTCACTCAAATGTGTATTTAAGCTCTAATACTTACATTGCAAATATAGATTTCTTACCTAGAATAGGACAAAACAATATTACCTAGTCTGTGTAACTTTTTTAAAATATGGCATTTACATCCATATAATCCAATTATTATGTATTTACATATTTAAACTCTAAATTTTATTTTTCACATTTATACCACATATTTTTTATATCCCATCAAAACATTTACTATTTTAATTTATAAAAAGTGACATACATTTTTTCATGCATGAATAAGGTTTTGTGAAAATTAAAGTTTATAGGTCAGACATGTAAATATATAAAAGTTCAGGGATATATATGTAAATTTTACTTAAAAAAATAAAATACATAAATCTCTTCAATTGAATCGGTTGGGAGATGAATGGGGCTGCCGGAGGAGCAATAAATACAACTTGTTTCGTCATATCAATTATGGATGTGGAAAGATAATTCTTAAAATAAAAAATATTTGAAATTCTTTTATTATTTTTTAAGCTAATTAATTTATTTTTCTAACTATAAAAATAATTAAAAACATCTATTTTTCTATGCTAATAAATAAAATATAGGAGCATCTACATACATATCACACAATCCTTATGTATTTATATGTCACCCCTAGGCTTTCATAATTTATATGTATACATATGTGTCGCATTTCTGTCCAGTTGGTAGGCAGGGTCACCGCAGGTTCCCTCTGGCAAGGTTTCGATCCCTATTGTGGCGTCGGGGGTCGAATTATTGGCACATAGCGAGCTTTCATCATGAGGCTGGATTGCGCAGGTGAAATCGATATTTGGGCCTCTGCCAAATATATATCCTTTGTATATATATATATATATTAATCGGAAAAGCAGCACAGCTGTAAACCTAATATAGATCTTATAATAATCTTACAAACAAAGCCTAACATTAAAGAGACAAAGAAAGGGACCACTTGGAAAGAAAATCTCTGAATCCCACAATGAAGATTACTTGGCGAGGGATCATGAATGGGAAAGATTTTTAGAAATCTATTAATGATTTTAGAAAACTTTATGGATAAGATGGTGATCCGATGGTTAGACATTTACTCTCGTACCTAAATGTGACTTGCTCAAAACTCATCAACCCAAAACAAAGAAAAATCGTTGGTTGGACATTTACTCCGCTCCCTGTATTTGAATCATGAGAGAGTATTTGGGCATGTGCCCTCATTAATCCCAATTTATGTCTTTGATTTATGCCATTGGGTGTCTCGGTCTTTCTGTCTCAAACACCTTGTATTTAAGATTGGTCGACTTGCAACTAGTTCATTCTGAGCGCACTTATCCGTCACATAATAGTTGAGAGAGTTATTTCTCATCGTGAGGTTATGATTTCGAACCGTGCATGTTATTGTTTGGGCAACCCTTCCATTAAAAAAAAAAAAAAATACATATTTTTTTAATGATATTTTCATTATATGTTAATAAATAAATGCATAAATTTATTCTGAATATTAAATATTATTTTTAAGAAAAGTCACAAAAGCTTTTGAAGATATTTGTGCATATATTTTTTTGGCTTTGGCATAAAGTGCTTTAAAATTAAAGATATTTTTCATTGTAATTTTGAAAATATGTATATAAAGTTTAAGAGAGAATTTAGAAAGTTTTTTTTGTGAAAGTTTATATTTGCACTTGTAGTATAAATAATTGTTGTATATAAATTATTATTTTTCAAAATATAGAAAAAAAAAACACTAATTTTTTAATTAACTAGAAGCACACTAAATGAATATTTAATTCAAATTTATATCATACATATGCTGAAACAAAGCCCTGATAATTTGTTCACTCATTTAAGGGAAGGAAGTGTTGAATTATGACGAAGTGACTCCGACACTGTTGAATCATGAGTTTCGTCAAAGCTATAGTCAGTGCAAAGATAGAATCAGCCGAGGCACTTACACTCCAAAGTAGTTAATCTGAGCAGAAGAAGAATTGGGCAAATAAATATGGTAGTGGCGACACTTCTCAAAAGTAAGGTAAGTTTTGCAGGCAAACTCTTAAGAAAAATTAATTTTTTTTAGAGACTGATTATTGGAAGAAGGATTGTCCAAAATGAAAAAGAAGGTAAAAGAAGTTGCATATGAGGCAAAAGTCAATTTCATTGAGCAAAGATGTGGAGAGGTGGAATCAGATGTATCATTATATATAGTTTCCCACATTTAGTTTATAGATGATTCGTGTTGGATTCTAGATACATGTGCTACCTATCATATTTGTTCACATCGAGGATAGTTCATTACGTACAACGAGTTGGATAACGATGCAATAAATATGGGCAACGATAAAATTTTTTGTATTATTAGTGTATAGAGTAATTTTATCAGAATGTATGATGATACTGTGAAGGAGTTGACTGATGCTAAATATGTTTCAGATATCAGAAAGAATTTGCTGGCAACTGATTCTTTAGAGTCCATGAACTACAATGTAGTTATTAAGGCTGGAGTTTTGAGGATATGTAGTGGAGTAATGGTTTTTATGAAGGGATTTCGTCATCACAATATTTACTATATTCGGGATCGTAATGACTGTTGTTGATAATTCTTTTGATGCCACTATGATGTGACATATGCGGCTAGCTCATGCTGGAGAGGTTTCACTTTAGGCTTTAGTGAAGAAAGAATTGATGAAATGAGCGAGCACCTGCAAGCTAGATTTTTGTGAACATTATACGTTTGGTAAGAAGACACTGATATTTTTTGGTATTGTCATCCATAACACAAAATGTATTTTGGAGTATGTTCACACAAATGTTTGGGGCCCGACGAAGACATCATCATTCAGTGGGAGATACTTTGTCTCTTTTGTTGATGATTTCTCCATGTATGTTGGGTGTACACCATGAAGTGCAAAAGCAAAATACTGTAGATTTTCATAACTTGGAAGAAGACTCAGACTGTTAAAAAGATCTAATGTATTAGATCAAACAATGGGAGCAAACACTCTTCGAATGTGTCTGTGCAAGGGTGTCAGAGAGCTGAGACAGAGCATGAATTCACTGTTTGAGAGACACCACCACAGAACGGGGTGGTAGAGAGGTTGAACTGACTTTTGTGGAGAAAGATCGGTGTATGTTATCCAACGCTAGGTTTGATAAATTCTATTGAGCCGAGACCGTAGAATATGTCTTATCACTTAGTGAATTGTCTGTCTTCTGCAACTATTGGGAAGAAGACCCTAAAGAAGATGTGTTCAGACATCTTGCTAGAGATTATGAGCACATGAAAGTGTTTACCTGTCCAGCTTACTACCACGTGCAGAATGATAAACTAGAATCATGAGTAAAGAAGGCAATCTTCATTGGCTTCAAGCATGGAGTTAAAGGCTTCGAGTAGTATGCTCAGTCAGAATGAAAAGTTGTCATGAGTAGGGATGTTAGTTTTGATGAGGCAAGTTAGTTGAAAAATCAAGACTTAAAATAAGGGGAGAGTTCTATTGAGACCACAAATATGCAATAGAAGTTGGGGTTTGATGAAACTCCTTTCATTCCACAAAGTTCATCCACTCTGACTCAGATTCAATTGCAGCTTAGAAGGTATCTGTCAATAATGCTCGGAAGGTGGTGGAAGAAAATGTTGAGGATGAGATTCCTACTCAAAAATCAATTGTCATAAGCAAACCAAAGACCATAATATCCCAAAACAACTTGGTTGATGAATCACATTGTATTTGCAATTTTAGCCATAGAGGCTTAAATTCCTTGTCAGCTTGGGTGATATGGATAGGCAGAGACGTATGACTGACTATTTATTCACATTGACATGAAGTCCATTCGATTGGAGGTCATTTCATCAGGCTACTATTTCTTGGTCTACTACAGAGGCTGAGTACATGACAATCACGGAGGGGATGAAGAAAACAATATGGATCCAGGGCTTATTGGATGACTTGGGAGTTGATAAGGAGTTTCAGTCAGAGTTTGATATTCTTGGCCACAAATTCAGTTCATCGTGCGCATACGAAACACATTGACGTGCGATACCACTTTGCTCAAGACTTGATTGAAGAAGGGAAGGTTTTGTTGAAGAAGATTAATACGAAGAAGAATCCAGCGGATATGCTCACCAAGACACTACCATTCTAGAAGTTCTCATATTACATGAGTTTGGTGAATATTCGAAATCAGGATTGATTGCTCAGTTGGGCATTTTGAAGAACTACATGATACTTGATCTTTTTGGGAGGGGGAACGTAGGCAACCACATTGGTGCAATTGAATTGAAGTTTGGAGCTCATTTTTTCTTCTCTTATTTATCCAAAAGTAAGAGATGAAGAAATAAGAGATGAGGTGGGGATTATAATATTTATGAATTTTATTATAATTAGGGGTAATTTTATCTTTTTGTTTTATTTACTTGTATGCTCTAGTCCTCCTCTATAAATGAGACTTAGGACTTATGAGAGAATGATAGTGAGAAATGTTGAGTTGTAACCCCAAATTATTTTTCTCTCTCATCCGGTGCTAGTGAAATATTCCTCTCCATAGACATACGCGAATCAACTTAACATCGAACCACATAAATCTTTTGTATTTGATTGTTAGTGTATGAATTTCTACACTTAATGTTCAATATCCTCATTAAAATTTGATTAAATTAGTTCAATTTTTTTTTTAAATTTGCTTTAAAATGACCGCCATAGAGAAATTAATTAAGTTTTCATGTCTCCCACTTCTCAAGCAAATTAAAAAATTTTGAAGGGCAAAATAACAAAAAATTAGCAAAAATTCTTAATTATTCCCTTAATTTAATCAACTAAATAGTAAATACACACATATTTATATAAGTGTCAAACCCTAATCCTTCCCTCCATGCTTCCTCTTCACGCATGCAACCTCCCCATCCCTGTCGTTTTCCACTTCGGGCACCACCTAATTTAAGAGAAATATATGTTAATTACGATATCCTAAAATTATATATATATATAAAGGAAATCAATATTTGGCTGAGACCCAAATATCGATTTCCCCTGCACAATCCAGCCCCATGATGAGAGCCCGCGCCATGTGCCTATAATTTGACCCCCCACACATCACGGTAGAGATCAAACCATTGCCAGAGGGGACTTACGGTGACCCTTCCTACCAACTGGACAAGGAATGCGGCACTATATATATATATAAAAATAAAAGAATAATTTAAAGAAAACAAACCTGGTCCCCAGATACACAAATCTGAGCCAGAGCTCGCTTACGGCTGTTCAGTCCAGTGAAGCCTGAAGCACATAGGGGATCTAACATAAATAAAGAAAATTAAATTAAAAAAAAAGAAAAACATTTATGAAATAAATATTTTTAAAGCACAACTAAGAAATTAATTTTAATTTTATAACATGATGCTGAAATTATTTAAAATTAAATAACTATATTCAACATTAATAATGCTAATACTAATGAAACAATTTGGAATGACAATAAATTTTATTAATAATTGATTTGAAACGAAATATATTTAATATGCTAAAATAAAAAAAAAATTTCATTTTTAAAAATATATAAATTATCTAAAAATTTGTTTGAGTATTTTTAAAAAATAGAAAATAAAAAATATATAAAAAACTCACTGATAAATATATTTTAATAAAATAAAATAAAATATATCAAAAAAAGGCCTAATAATGGTGAAAAATCGAATTTTGTTTTTGCTAAAGCTGTCTGGAACAATCTCCCAATTATTAGTTATAATTTAGCCGCCATATGGAAGGAAGCAAAAAAATATCTCAAGATATTCTCGTAATGAGGTGCAAGGTGATCATCATGACTAAAAACCAGATTTTTATGAGCCGTTTTATTTGAAAGGTAGAATTTAGGTCCGCAAATGAGTCGAGACGAACCCGAACCGCAAATGAGTCGAGACGAACCCGAACCAATTCGAGCTAGAACTCCATTATCAAAATAAGTTCAAATTGACCTCAAATATCTGCAATGTCATCCGAGTTCGATTCATTTAAATTCATTGTGGTTAAGACTTAAACTGAGCTCAATTTAAGTTTCTTTTATTTTCGAACTTTTTTAAATGAGTTAACTCATTTAACATTGTTAAGCCGAGTTGGCTGAGTTCTAAAATTTAATCTTATTGAATGTTTTTAAATTTATAAAGCTTTTTGATGGCTGATCCACGCAAGAGTTGCATAATACTTAGATGGTATGTGAGTCTGGCGGTGTGGCGTGATTCACGCCATCGACCGCACATCTGATTTATCGGATATAATATGTTCTCCTGATCAACAAAGCATGTAGAATATGAATTATATATATAAATCATAGTCAAATAACATATAAATAGTATTAATACTAGATAAAAAATAATAATGTAAATAATATATTGAGTATAAATACTTGAGCTTTCTGCTGAGGAGCTTTATATAGAGCATTTTAATAGGCTTATAACAAATTTGTTCAAGAACTTCACATAATAATAATAATTGTTGCGTTTAGGAAAATTCATGACAATAAAGTATGGGAGAGTTTATTATTGTAGCGTTGAATAAAGAAAAAGAGTGCCACAAAAGTGTGGGATGTTGATGTGACTCTCTAGAAATGGGGTACAACAATAGAAATGTAATAAGTATGGGAGGATAATGATGATGAAAGTTGGATGTTATTATGACGATGATCAATAACACAATGATGACTACGAGATTATATTCACAATGATGACTACGGGATTATATTCGTTGGGAGCGATATTGAACAACCAAAAAAAGATGGTCCAATGATGGCAACGACTCACTGACAGTAGTGGTGAAGGCTGGATGTCAATGGGCTGGCAATGATTACTGATGACAATTGGCTTCAAGCATTTTTCAAGAGCATAAACTTAGTTCTTAGCTTATTACTCCATTTCTCATTGTTTATGTTTAAATAGGGTCCTATTTATAAGGTTTAGGGAGTCCATTTTGATAAATTTTGCTATACTCTCATAACACTTCAATACTCGTGTCTTTTTCTTTGCATCCTACAATCTATGTTGATAGCTTCGATCATACATCAATTTTTTTTAGCTTTATAAGTATCTTAATGACGTGAGAATTGAGTGATATTAAGCTTGATCGACTCATCTCATAGAGAAGAAAATAATACATCCAGACTTCAGATGTAAATTTAAATTCATAGTCCAGTGGGAACTTGCCACGTGGCAAGTGGGCCCCACTATAATAGGAATGTTTTTTTAGAGAGGGTGGGGCCCACTTTCCACGTGACACACTCCTATTGGACTTCAAACGCAAATGATGTAATATTTTTTCCTCATCGAGATACTTGATTTGACCATATGCATGCCAAATTTGAATGCTTCAAATATTCTAATCATACTTAATAGTGTTTGATTTGAGCTCATTTGAGAATAGATTGAATTGCTTTTAGTGGAGTTTGATTGGTTCAATTTGCTTATAAAATGATTGAAATCAAACCCAAAATGATCTTAAACTAAAACTTAAAATTTTTTTTTTATTTAATATGCATCAATATTCATGCTTAATCATGTAAATTTTTTTTGGTGCCATATCAATGATATTCATGATTATAAATAAGCCAAGCAATAACTTATTCAAACACCCTTATTTAATAATAATAATAAAATATTATAAAAATATTCAAATTGTTTAATTAATCATACAAATAATTATAAATGAGCTCAAATTGACCCAAATCATGAATTCTGTTGAAAGCAAGCTTCTTTCACAGTTCTAATTTTTAGATATTGAAGAACAAGCTCTCTATATTATTAATAATAAAAAAATAAAATCAATGCTCTTGTGAAAAGAAGAAAAAAATCATCATTTGAATATTTTATTAAGTTTCAGCACCGTTTGGTCTCAATTTAAATATTTATTAATAATTTTATTATTTATTTAATAATAGCAACAAGCCACTTTGTCAATAGAATAATATGCTATTTATTCTAAATAATCAATGTCGAAAAATATCTAACATTTAAAGCTTGATATTTACATTTAAAACATTTTGATGACATATTATGCAATATAAAAAATTATGTGTATGTATAAGAAATTTGATGGGGTCTAGAAATAAATTAATAATAAAAAACAAAAAATTTCGGGAAAAAAAAGGATTAATAAAATTGATTTATACCTGAATCAACCACGACCTCCCCCTCCGCCTCCACCTCCGCCTCCACCGCCTCCGCCGTCGGCGCCGCCGGCCGTCGACTCGGTGGCGCTATCGGGGATGTAGCGGTCGAGCCTCAGATCGCCGTCCATCGCCGTACACCGAGAAGACACGGCGGCATCGCCGCCGAGCACTCGCCGGACGAAATCGGCCTCCATCTGATTCAGGAAGAGGGAGTGCCGTTTTTCCGTCCACCGCCCATCAGAGCCGTCCATCAACGCTTTGAAATCCATTAGATTCTGGAACGCAAGAGAGAGAGAGAGGAGCGATAGAAGAATGGGGGCGGAGGACAGATTTATGCAGCCAGTAAAGGGGGCCGGGGGTCGGTAGACGAGGATATTTTGGTAATTTAATTAAAAGCGCAGGAAAATATCTGACGGCAATGGCACGTGGCAAAGATATTTGTATTGCATGCGGGACCGGGTAGAGACGACTCAGACGAGCCTTTACGTAAGGAAACTTCCATCATGCTTTCTTACCTAAAAATGTGATTATAAAATGTAAAAGGGTAAAAGAGTATATAAATATCAATCAATGAACTGTAATTAACTAAAATAAATAAATGATTGATTGATAGCTAATATTACTGTAATAAAATTTAATTGATAAATTTTGTATTTAAATTTTTTTCTAACTAAATTTAGAAAGTGAAATGATACTGCCGTGTGCAGAAAAATTTATGGTGATAGAATGATAGTTTAATATCTTAGGGTTGCATGAAGATCCAACGTATACATATATATATATATAAAAGAAAAATAGTAGGAGGAGACATCAAATTTTTACGAGAAAAAAAACTATGAAATAAAAAAAAAACTACGCCAAATCCTGACAAAATAAAAAATTATGTAATTGTAAGTATACATGTCAACTATTCACCAAAATTTAAAAAAAATATAGAATTGCAAAGCTCATAATCAGAGAGAGAGAGAGAGAGA